AGACCGATGAGCTTTGTAAAAATCGACACGTTTCAGAAAGGCGGGGCATAGAGGAGAAACAATAATGTACAGTTGTGGAAAATAATGTGTTTTTTTAACCTTAAACCGCATAAACACATTTCATTACACCAAATACACAAAATAATGTTCTTTTTAGCAACATCATATGACCCCTTTAACTTCTATTCAACCCGTAATATTCCAGCAATGAGAGACGGATGGAGTTTAGCTGGACATACAGATCGACAGGACGAGAGACAGACAGATATGACAACACGCCTCATCAGAGCTATTGATTAAATACTAAACTCTGTTGGTTTCCCGTCAGTCTGACATTGGCCCTCAATCGCAGGACCGTTGGACGGGGCAACGGTTCGCCTTCTTCCTGCCAGCAAAGCAATCGTTACGACGACAGGCAGTAATTACTAATGGCAGCCAACAGTGAAAGTAAAGCTTCTCGAATTTTTGGACACCGGCAGTGAACACTTGTTGACGAAAGGAGATTTATGCTATTTGTTTTAGCATTTATTAATGTTAGAAATATTCAGCTCAGAGACTATAGTAAACAGGACAAAGTCAAAGCTAACAAACAAACACATGCGAGAGACTAGGATTCAGATGTAAACACTGACTACTGTACACCGAGAGCAAAGCAAACAAGACTCGCTTCAGAGCGAAAGATCACCAAACTGCAAACATTATAGAGCTTCAAAGTTTTATTTTCAATTAAATATGGTGTAAATAAGATTTATTCTCTTGCTACACAGTCATGCTGTATGCATAAACCATTTCAGTCTGACAAACCTTCAATACGCAAAACTCTCTAATTATTTATTTCAGAGACATAAATAACAGAGATTAATAACTAGCAAGTTAGTAATTGAATGAGATGTTAAGGAAATGCTCAAGTCTTATGAAATGTATTCTTGTATTCAGTAAGGATGCATTAACCTGATCAAAAGTGACAGTAAAGATATTTATAATATTACAAAAGAAAATATTGAGCAGCACAAATGTTTTCAACACTGATAATAATCAGAAATGTTTATTGAGCAGCAAATCAGCATATGAGAACGATTTCTGAAGGATCATGTGACTGAAGTAATGAAGCTGAAAATTCAGCTTTGATCACATGAATAAATTACACTTTACAATATATTCAAATAGAAATTAGTTATTTTAAATTGTAATAATATTTCATAATTTTACTGTTTTTACTGTATTTTTGATCAAATAAATTATCAATAAATGACTTGCTGAGCAGTTCTTTCAAAAACATTTTTCAACAGAACAGTGGAGAACATGCATTAATTTTGCAGATGCTTTTATCCAAATGAGGAATACAAGGCAATTCATCCTAAGGAGTTTTTTTTTGCTCAGTAAGTGTGTTTTTGCATGCAATCACTTCATGACATCACTTTCAAATTACACTGCAAACTCAGAGCAATCTTAGAGAAAAATACACATTATTTTGGAATACAAGGCAATTCATCCTAAGGAGTTTTTTTTTTGCTCAGTAAGTGTGTTTTTGCATGCAATCACTTCATGACATCACTTTCAAATTACACTGCAAACTCAGAGCAATCTTAGAGAAAAATACACATTATTTTACCATGATGCTGAAGACTCAGTGAGATCGCGCTGAAAAACAAGGCTCAAACGGTCACTTGAAACAGTGCAAACCTACAGTGAGTGACAGTTAAGTGACTATAATGAGATGCATTCTAGTATTATGTTTAATTTATTCAGCATTTGAATAACAGTTTTGTTTTTCATGCTGTTAAGAGCGCCTATGTGAAGCTGATTGCTGATGTACAAAACAGTGATGAAGTAATTCAGAAACACAGCTCTGCGCTTCAACAAACATTACACACACATCCGGGCTGATTATAATTCGCTTTGAATCAAATATTTACATACAAAGTTCTACAGCTGAAAAAAAAGACTGATAAAAGTGAAAGCCAAAAAAATTAGAGGACAACAACCGAGAAGATCTGACGAATGAGGAACCTTTGAAATCAAGCTCTGGTTTAGTTAATGAACTTCCCGTTTCCCCCTGAGCTCAGTCTATTTTAGGGGAGGATGATCACGTCAGCAGAAATCATATCACACCCGTCTGGACGAACCCAGTGGATTTTGGGAAGGAATTAGTCTCCACTGGTCTAGATTCACACATGAACTCTCCCGTCTGATCATATTCCTTGTTCACTGCTGGCCGGAGGCTCGTGTGAACATATTAACTACATGTACAATGGACACAGCTGCATTTTACTCTTGTTGGCCAAAGTCACATCATGTTCCTGTGGACTCTATACAGGGTTAAAGGACAAGAGGAGACACAGCATTTTAAGTGCCCTCCTGAAATGAAGGAATTCAACAGAAAAGTCTATAAAATTAATGAATAATGTCCTGTCCGAAAATTACCAGTAATATAATGGTATCAATCATATTATAAATTACCAGTATAAAAGTTTTTTTTTTTTTTTACACAGTGTATGGTAGAATGAAAAAAATAATGTTAATAATAACAATAATGATAATAGTAAAAGTAGTACTTAAATAATAATAATATATTTGGATTAAAACTGTAGGAAAAAATAAACATTTTAAAAATCTTACCAACCCAAAAACGCTCAATAGAAAGACCTGTTGTCTTGACATTATATTTGCCTAAAAAAAAAACATCAATATTGAAATCAAGACAGTAAATATCAACAATTACTAACAATCTATTGGCATGAACTATTGGAATTCACTGTAAAATTCAGTCTCTTGTTCGGTTTTTATTTCAGCCAGGATGCTACCTTAAAAGACAGCTGCCTATATAGACAGCAAAGCGCACAGGAGCAGAGCTATATGCAACATGCATCAGCACATTTTAGCTCCTGTAAGCAAACAAAAACGGCGTCAAAAGCAGCACGATTTGACATTTCTGCAGCGTTGGCGTGCAAAAACACCAGGATTTCAAGGCCGTTCTGTTCTCTGGTTTCTGATTACACTCACAAACCCAGCCGGTGTCCCGTGTGTCCTCTGCAGAACGCTGGTGTGAGGAATGCTAACATATCTTTCCCGCCGCGTGTATTGACCGTGAGCTGATAATGAGGGCCGACAGGGCGAACGGAGAGGCGGCGCAGCCAAACCGCCTGTGTAATGACTCGTCCTCTCTCTCTTTATCTCCTCACAGACTCTCCTATCGGACCGGACAGGACACGGCCAACTGCGACACGTGTCGGAATAGCGCATGCATTATTTACAGGTTGGTTGATGTATTTTGTTTGTGTGAGATACACGAGCATGCTGCGCTAATAAAGCTCAACTGCAGCCTCATCACAGATTGTGTGAGTAATGAGCGAGATAAAGAGAGGAAATACTCCTGCTGACAGGAAGGTGTAGGCTATTCGATAAAGGACCTTAGTGAGACACCCTCATCACAGAGCCCGGCACAACATTATCTGGATGTGGAGTAGGAATAGTTCATCTGATATAGTTCATCAAATATTTAAATGATAATAATAACAATAATGATAATAGTAAAAGTAGTACTTAAATAATAATAATATATTTGGATTAAAACTGTAGGAAAAAATAAAGTAAATTACAATAACTAAATAAATAAATAAATGAAAAATTGCAATTAAGACAGCAGATAAGTTAAGTTATTATATACCAATTTATTAATGATCAAAAACACAAAAAAAGAAAGGAATTTTCCATATTGGAAATTAAAATTAATTAATAATGTCCTGGCAGAAAATTACCAGTATGTTACCAGTACCAATACCAGTACGAAAGAAAGAAAGAAAGAAAGAAATGTTTATAATTGTTATTTATATTTATATATTTATATTTTTGATGTATGATATTATTATTATATTTTAATATCTTTTATTTATGAGAACATCAAATGTGTAAAGTTTAACAAAGTTTCAAAGTAGCGTAACAAAATGTAAAGTTGCTTCCCAAACACTGCTATCTATGTCTCTTGTGTGCATGTGTTTAAAAATATTACATGGCGTAGGCCTACTCTTGTTTACACCGATGATATCCAGAATGGCTTCACATCCACATCAATCATGCTAATAGAGTTCAGTCTGAAGGAGCTAAAGTGTTCTACTTCGCATAATATGGTAGGGAGGAGAAATCTCCTGACACAAAGCGCAAGAGCTCAGATCACTGCTCTTCAGTCTCAGCAGCTCTCGCCTCGGAATCAATAAATGCCTGTCGTTCAGCAGCAGAGTGTGCGTGCAACATGAAGCAGTTCTGAACAAACTGAAGATAAATTATTCACTTATAAACTCATTTGTTGTGAACAGAAATTAACTGAAATTAGAAATTGGCACCAAGGCAGTGGTGTTAACTAAAATTATAAAAAATTGTTTTTGACAACTGAAAACAGAAATAAAATTAAATAAAATATCAAACAAAGTTTTATTATAAAGATATTTAAAATAAAATCAATAATATTTAAAAATAAATAAATAAATAAAATATAGTATTTAAAATGTTTCTAAAAAATAATGATGCACAAGGCAATGTTGTTAACCAAAGTTTTAAAATGAAATTTAAAAATATTTTTGTTAATGAAATAAACCACAATATTAAATGCAAAATTGACACTTTAAAAGCTTAAACGAAAAATCGCCTTAGCAGCTAACTAAAATAAATCAGCTGAATTTGAAGTAACAAAATGGCTAAAACTGAAATAAAAATGATTTAAAGCTAAATAGAAAACTATATAAACAAAATAATAATATAATATAAATATAATATAACCAAAAACTAATTAGAGGACAAGAAAAAAGTTTAACTAAAATTCAAATTAAAACCGTAAAAATAAAAGAACTAAAAATATTAATAAATACTATAATAGCATAGAAATTCAAACTGGCAGTACTGTATGGACACTTTAAATAAAAAGCACCGAAAAATCAAAATCAACCAATCAATCATCCAAGATGGCAGACAAGTAGAGAGAAATGCTGATTATTAATATTCTGTGATACTTGAAGTTAAATCTAATTACCATTACTATGTTTCATGCATTTTGTTCTGCTTTGTATATAGAAGAGATTAGCACAGCAATCATCTAATGTCAAACTCGATTATAATCAACTGTAAAGCGAGGCTCTTATGCACTGCACTATTTGTGTGGCGTACAGAGATGCAGCCTATGTAGAGCGTTTCAAATCAACAAAAACACTGACTTTTCTTGCAATATCTTGATTCCTGGGAAACGGATTAATGCACGGCAAGCGTTTTAAACAGACAGTGTGCGGTTGCTCATGAGGGTGCATTTCAGGCACAAAGCCACTTTACCTATCCAACAGCAGACAGCAGGATGGCTCACTAGGTTTTTGGAAGAGAGCCACAGTGTTTCCGGCTTCAGTTTCTCAGTTTAACCTTCTGCATCTCTCTGCACTTTCTCTCCACCTCTCATTTCCTGCATCATTATCCCTCCATCACTCCGCATTACTCCTCTGACGGGCATTCAGTCTCTCAGAAGGATCTTCCCATGGCTGACATTCTTAAAGAACGCTCCCAGATCAATACGAGTAAAGCTCAATCGACAGCATTTGCAACATGAAGTCGATTTCCATAGACAATAATTTCTCAAAAATCACACGTATATTGTGCATGTTACCAGCATCCAGACAGCTTACAGGCTGAAATGTGAGGCTTCATTTTTGTTAAATCATTTAAATCAGTTTATTAAGAAATAGGTAGGTTTAAGTTGAATTTCGGCTTCCAACGATTATGAAAACTGGAAAGGGGAGCTTCATTTTTGTTAAATCATTTAAATCAGTTTATTAAGAAATAGGTAGGTTTAAGTTGAATGTCGGCTTCCAACGATTATGAAAACTGGAAAGGGGTGGAATGGGTCACAATAATTGTTTTATATAGATTGTGACCCATTCCACCCCTTTCCAGATGTGCGCTTTCGCTCCTCCATAAAATATGACATTCACACACAGACATGAGAAACCTATCTATAGAAAGCTTGAAGTGTCTTCTTTTAAATGAAGTCAGTCATGTCGAAAACAAATATTCTCTGGTAAAGTAATCCGTATGAAACCAACACGAGGTACAGTCTTTTCCCATCTGAGCTCATAAATGTGATTACAATACTGACCAAAATAATCGTGATTATGATTTTTGCCATAAT